TCACCTGTACCCCGCACTCACCTCCCTGTACTAAACTCACCTCTACCCCGCACTCACCTCCCTGCGCTAAACTCACCTGTACCCCGCACTCACCTCCCTGTGCTAAACTCACCTGTACCCCACACTCACCTCCCTGTACTATACAATTTAGTCACAAAAATGTTTTTGTTGTGGTCCTACCTGCACTGATTCTAACACCTCTTTGTGCCTCTTTTTTGCAGATTGCAGTTCCTCATCTGAAATTGCCTCTCGTAAAGCTTGTTGGGAAATGAGTGAGTCTAACTCCAGTAATGTTGACACGTGGCAGTACAGGTTCATGAATCTTTCCCTGTAGCAGCTAAAGTGAACTGGAACAAGAGACAGCAGGAGCAATGAGAGGCTTTATGTGACTGTGCTTACTATACGACTAATCAAAGCTGACATTCCCCAGAAAACATTACCAACAATCCTTGCACCACATTAATCAACATCTTTGACCTAATGCATTCAAGATCATACATTATAAGGAATATATAGATGAGCCTCATATTCTGCTAGGCTTGAAGTATGAAGTGTAGCTAATGTTTGGTGGGACTCTTTGTTACAGTAACCTAATTCTGGGAATTGACGTCCAGATAGAAAGTGACAAAGCAACATGAGAATTCAAAATTAAGGCTCACAATTCCTGAACTTTAATAAATCCTGTGAGTTAAAAAGCGATAGATCAATAGAAATATACAAACATTCAAACTAAGAGCAGGAATAGGCCATTCAGCTCATTGAGACTACTCTATCATACAAAATGATCATGGTTGTTCATGAAATCAACACCATATTGCCCCCCTTTCTCCCCATACCCCTCAATACTTTCGCTTCATGGCTCACAACAAAGTTCTCAGTGAGGAAGAGAGATTCTAGCAATGAGATAAGCCAACCATGGTTAACCAGTGGAAGGTAAGGACAGCATCAGATTAATCGGGGAGATACTAAACAAGTATTCTGCATCGGTGTTTACGGTGAAGAAGGATATCAAAGCTAGAGAACATGGGGAAATAAATAGCGACATCTTGAAAAATGTCCATATTACAGAAGAGGAGGTGCTGGATGTTTTAAAGGGCATAAAGGTGGATAAATCCCCAGGACCAGATCAGGTGTACCCTAGAACTTTGTGGGCAGCTAGGGAAGTGTTTCCTGGGCCCCTTGCTGAGATATTTGTACCAACAGGCACAAGTGAGGAGCTGGAAGACTGGAGGTTGGCTAACGTGTTGCCACTATTTAAGAAAGGTGGTAAGCAAAAGCCAGGGAACTATAGACTGGTGAGCCTGACATCGATGGTGGGTAAGTTGTTGGAGGGAATCCTGAGGGACAGGATTTACATGTAATTGGAAAGGCAAGAACTGGTTGGGGATAGTCAACATGTGCTTGGGCATTTGTTTCTCATTAACTCGGTTGAGTTTTTTGAAGAAGTGGAGAAGAGGATTGATGAGAGCAGAGTGGTGGATGTGATCTATATTGATTTCAGTAAGGTTTTTGACAAAGTTCCTATGGTAAACTGTATAGTAAGGTTAGATCACATGGAATACGGGGAGAACTAGCCATTTGGTTACAGAACTGGCTCAAAGGTAGAAGGCAGTGGGCAGTGGTGGTGTGTTGCTTTTCAGACAGGAGGCCCGTGCCAGCGGTGTGCCACAAGGAGTGATGCTGGGTCCAAGGAGCAGGAAAGATGACGTTTTCTGAAAAAGGGTCCCGAACCGAAACGTCAACTTTCCTACTCCTCTGCCGCTGCCTGCCCTGCTGTGTTCCTCCAGCTCCACACTGTGTTATCTCTGACTCCAGCATCGGCAGTTCTTACTATCTATTGGTGCTGAGTCCATTGCTTTTCAACATTTATATAAATGATTTAGATGTGAGCATAGGAGGTATGGTTAGTAAATTTGCAAAATTGGAGGTGTAATGGATAGTAAAGAAGGTTACCTCAGAGTAGAACGGGATCTTGATCAGATGGGCCAGTGGGCTGAGGAGTGGTAGATGGAGTTTAATTTAGATAAATGGGAGGTGCTGCATTTTGGAAAGGCAAATCAGGGCAGGATTTCTACAATTAATGGTAAGGTCCTGGGGAACTGCTGAACAAAGAGACCTTGGAGTGCAGGTTCATAGTTCCTTGAAACTGGAGTCGCAGGTAGATAGGATAGTGCAGAAGGCGTTTGGCATGCTTGCCTTTATTGGTATGTGTATTGAATATGGGAGTTGGGAGGTCATGTTGCGGCTGTAAAGGACATCAGTTAGGCCATGTTTGGAATACTGTGTGCAATTCCAGTCTCCCTGGATGTTGTGAAACTTGAAAGTGTTCAGAAAAGACATACAAGGATTTTGCCAGGTGAATAGGATGGGCTGAAGAGCTAAACTTGTTGATAACATTCAACAGCTGCGTGACCTTGAATGAGTCCTGTGAGCATTCCTGTACGTGCCAAAGCTGGCACAAACAATGTGTTTTTCTGTAGCTGTTTTTCTGTGCCTGGCTGTTTGTTTCACTGTATAAGAGAGAGAGTTTCATTCCAAGTCGCTGGACTTTACCTTGGACGGGGATTGCGAACGGTGCCAGGAACAACCTTAGCCTCCAGACCAGCCACCAATCGAAGGGTCCCCAAAGGGCAGAAGGGCGTGAGGCTTATTGTTTTCTTCCTCTGTTTTTCATTCTTTTTATTTACATAATAAATGTTCCTTTCTTTTTTCATGCTTTATTTTAACTCAATAAATGTTCATATTTAAGCAAATTGCCATTGTTGAGCCTTGTCTTAACTATGTTTAACTGAATCCAAAAAGAATCACTTGGATACACTCTATGATCCAAGACATTTTTGGCACCAAGGATGGGTTTTGGGAAAATGTGCAAGAGAAGGGAAAAGCAACTTGGTGCTCCAGAGCCCTTCTGTATTCCAGGGTAGAATGTGGCTGACTCTGGATTCGGGTCTGTATGTTAATATGTTAACACAATTTGGACGCCTGAAAGGATGGGAGATGGTTATAACTGGTTTCTGTGCTGTGCAAGTGCATTAAACCTTTCTTAAGGGATTACTCTTTGTGGTCTGGTTTGAATGAACTTTTGTTTGTTGGGAGCTAAATGTCATCTTGTACAATTTATGTGTTTTTGTTTCCTGGAGCTTGAGATTTGGGGATATTTTGCATTTTGAGAATGTATGGTGATTTGAAAGTGTGTTGTGTGCCTGTATCAGTGTGGGACATGTATGGTTAATGTAATGTCCTTTTAAGAAACCATCAATGGTTGTGTAAAGCAAAAATCTGCAAAATGTTGATTGAAAATTTTGGTTCATAAAGCTTGGTAAAAATTTACCTTTTGGAATTGGCTCCATGTTGTTTTTGGACTTGGGTAAATTTTAATTCCAGAAACTACCATGTTTAGAATTTCATTTTCTGGCCAGAGTGAACTTCCAAGTACTGTTTTAACATGAGTGAATCTTCAATTCTGGATGATAAGATTGATTCATTATTAATATCCAAGTGGTAGGGACATTGGAATGTTAAAAATGTAACTCCCTGTATGTGGGGAGTTTACAAAAGGCAAATTTAACAAAGGGGCGGGCTTTTCCTTCCTTCAATGAGGAGGATAGACGGATGACATAATTACATGCAGGAGTTTATGCTCCACCCTCTTTTTTGAATCTGTAGTTGATTAATACTAATTAATCCATTCTGCTTGACATGTAATGGGTGAAGCTTGTTGCTTTTTAGAAATTGGAGATACTGAATGCTGAACCCATTTGCAGAGTTTCAACGTCGCAACACAGTGATGGATGAGGCACCCTCAACACATCAAGCCATTCATCAATAACACATTTCAGTGTTGGGGAAGTATTGTGGAAATATTAATTGTAGTGAGTGTCAGGAATCTTGAAACCACTGAGCCTGGGTTCACTTAAGCTTATGGAGATAGCAAGAACTGCAGATGCTGGAGTCAGAGACAATACAGTGTGGAGCTGGAGGAACACAGCAGGTCAGGCAGCATCAGAAGAGCAGGAAAATGAAAATTTTGGGTTACACCCTTCATCAGGACTGCCTGACCTGCTGTGTTCCTCCAGCTTGACACTGTATTAACTAAACTTAAACATATGACAAAAACTATATTAAAACTCACATGTTCTGATATTCTAAAACATTTAAATGAATTGTCACCTGAAAATTTAAAGGGATTCTGGAAAATGATAAAGTGCATGCACCACTATATCTAATTCCAGAGATCTGTAGAGATTTGTACTGCATGGAACATAATCTTATAATATTTTAAAACAGAAGTTGAACATTTCTGTTTCAATGCATACAAAAATGATTTGTGACTTAAAGGGAGTAAACGGAATATTGAATTTGGACAAATTTACACAGAGACATTTCAAATATCTAGAATGACTTACCAAGTAACTTTAAAAAGAAGCAGCTTATCATAGAGAAAGGACAAAGTGTGTTGTGCCTGAATCAAACAGAAATGTTCAACTTCTGTTTTAAAATATTATAAGATTATGTTCTATGCAGTACAAATCTCTACAGATCTCTGGAATTAGATATAGTGGTAATAGTTAAGTTGCAAAATTGAATGAGGTGACGTAATTAAGGGTGGAGACTGGTGTTAGAAGAAAAGAAAATTAAAATAATGGGTTGAAACGGCAATTGAGATTAAAATGCATTTTAGTGAAAAGGAAGTTTAGATGAGGGCACCAAACTGATAGCTTTCTCTGGGTGATATATGTGCCCTTGTCTTTCTTATTAAGAAAAATCAAATTGATGATCAAGCCACTGCCTGAGGCATCAGGACCATACTTGGAGAGACAAGCAAAACCTTGTAGATCATTTGGTAAGATCATGTGGGAGTCAAGAATGTGTGACATAGTTTTGGGATACCGATGTAAGTGTGCAAAAGTGAATGTTACCTCAGAGGTAACAAACATGAAACGGTAAAAAACATGCACTGAAGAACGGGTCTCAGACATGTGCACCTATATGTCAAAGGATTAGTGTGGCTTGAATAGCAGAAAAACATAGTTTAAACGATAAAACACTGACACAAAATCCATAGAGAAACTGACTTTAAAACAATGAAAGTCGTATTAGTGAAAGGGATTTACGAAGATTTACAATCAAAGTAAAAAGTGTCATTGGTTACCATGTCAAAATGTTACAGAAATGAAAGAATATGCATTCTGGGAGGAGTAATGTTGGCCTGAGTGAAAGGGCCCATTGGATGACACACGGATACCCCATCCTGAGCGTCTGTATGATTAGGTGAAATTGTAATATGTTCGGACAGTTAGTGTATGTGAAAAAAGGCTGAGCTAAGACCCAGGTGGTGTAGGAGTCTGTGGTAAGGGAACCCTGGGAAAAATGAATGGCGGGAAGTATAAGTTGAACGTAAAGCCTGATGAACATTACAGCTGTACTGTTTAATACCATGTACATTGTAGCTCAAAACGGGGTCCCTGCATTTGGAGATAGTTACCACTCAATGATACAATCATTCATAAAATTGGCAAGGAGGGAAACATATTGAAGAAGTATCTTCAAGACGGATATGGATGAAGACAGCTGGAGAAATTTTGAATCTGTGTATGATGTTATTTTATTCAGGTTGTGGGCATGCTCGCTGAGCCAGTGTGTTTGGTTGCAAACGTTCCGTCACCCTGCTAGGTAATATTGTCAGCGCGCCTCCGGTGAAGTGTTGGTGTTCTGTCCCGCTTGTTATTTATATGCCTCAGTTTGCTGGGGTGTTCGTTTTGTATACGGGGTCTAATTCAATGTGTTTGTTGATGGAGTTCCAGTTAGAATACCAGGCCTCCAGGAATTCCCTGGTGTGTCTTTGTTTGGCTTGTGCAACTATGGATGTGTTGTCCCAGTCGAATTCATGTCTAATTCATTCGTTGTCTGTGTGTAGTGAGACAAATAAAAATTGGTCGTGTCTCTTGGTGGCTAGTCGGTGTTTGTGTATCTGTATTGTCAGTTTTCTTCCAGTTTGGCCTATTTGGTGTTTCTCACAGGCCTTGCATGGAATTTTGTATATTACACCGGTTTTACCCCAAACCGGAAGAAAACTAACAATACAGATACACGAACACCAACTAGCCACCAAGAGACACGTCCAATTCTCACTTGTCTCACTACACACGGACAACAAGGGACATGAATTCGACTGAGACAACACATCCATAATCGCACAAGCCAAGCAGAGAGACACCACGGAATTCCTGGAGGCCTGGTATTCCAATCGGCTTCTCTAGCACCATCTTATTTTTGATTTTTTGTAATTATCTCTTTGCCTCAATTAATTGGATCATAGGTCATCCCTTCACTTGCTATTTAGCTGTTGCCACTTTATTCACATCATTTGTATTTATCTTTTGACACTCTTAATTACTGGGAATTTTCTTGCCATTAGTTTTCTGCCTATAAATTCTGTGCCTGTGCACTTCCCTCCACTTCACCTGATGAAGAAGCAGCACTTCAAAAGCTTGTGATTTCAAATAAACCTGTTGGACTATAACCTGGTGTCGAGTTACTTCTGACTTTATTATACAGAATGTAATAGCAGAGCATTTCAAAATATATGTTATGATCAGCAGAGTCAGCAGAGCATCATCAAAGGGAAATCCCATCTGACAAATTTACTAGAATTCTTTGATGAGTAGACAAGTAAAACAGATAAAAGGGAAGTGGTAGGTGTAATTTTTTGGATTTTCAGAAGAAGTTTGATCAGCGCCACACTTTAGGCTACATAATAAAACACAAGGTATTGGAGGTAACATGGTAGCATGGATAAAAAGTTAGCTAACTAATAGAAGCCTGTTCAGCCCCATCAAAATTTTATACATTGCAATCAGATCTCTTCTCATTTTCAAAACTTCAGTGAGTACAGGCCCAATCAACACGATCTCTCCTCATACCATCAACCCAGGAATCAACCTGGTGAATCTTTGCTGTGCTCCCTCCATGGCAAAGTATTATCTTCTCTGAGGCAAACAGACCAAAACTGCACACAAAATACTCCAAGTGTGGTCTCATCAAGGCCCTGTCCAGCTATAATAAGTTTTGCTTGCTCCTGAACTCAAATCTTCTTGCAATGTTGCCAAAATGCCATTTGCCTTTCTAACAGCTCGCTGCACCTGCATGCTTGTATCAGTGACCAATGTACAGGGACACCCAGGTCCCATAGAACATCCACATTGCCTCATCTATCACCATTTAAATAACACACTGCCATTCTGTTTTTCCACTGAAGTGGACAACTTCACACTTCTGCACATTATCCTGACTCTGCCATGTATTTGTTCACTCACAGTTTATCTAAACTACCCCGAAAGCTCTTTGCTTCCTCTGCATCACTCTCACTCCAACCTCATTTTTTGTTCTCACTGAATTTGGAAATATTTCATTTGTTTCCCTTATCCATATAGTCAATCTATATTGTGAATAGCTGGGCCCAAGCTCTGTTCCCTGCAGTGCCCCACTGGTTACCATTTTCCACTCAGAGAATGACCCATTTATTCCCACTCTCTGTTTCTTGTCCGCTAAACAATTCTCAATCAATGCCAGAATATTACCATCAATCCTACATTCTTTAATTTGCACAATTACCTCAATGTGGGACTTTATCAAAAGTTTTCTGAAAATCCAAATAAACTATACCCACGAGTTCTCCCTCATCTATACTGCTAGTTACATTTTGTTTATTGATTCAGGGATGTGGGTGTCACTAATTGAGCCAGGACTTACTGCCCATCCCTAGTTGCCCCTTGAGAAGGTGGTGGTGAGCTGCCTTCTTGAACTGCTGCAGTCCATGTGCTGTAGGTAGACCCCAATGCCCTTAGAGAGGGAGATCCAGGATTTTGACCCAGTGACACTGAAGGACCAGCAATATAATTCCAAGTCAGGGTGGCTTGGAGGGGAACTTGCAGTTGGTTAGTGGCTAACTGAGGGTGGAGGTCAGTAAAGAAGGAGAGCAGCTTCTGTTTTCCTTAGCAGGAGCTTGTCAATTTGGGCTGTCCTGTCAGACACATAGGAAACGTGACTAAGTGCCTGCTCAAAACAAATGGAAGAATGTGTAATAGGGACAGTCATACTGACACTGCAGACAAAGTGCCTGCACGAGGTACAGTCAGACTCAAAGATTGCAGTTGGAATGGCCTGTATTGGGGTCAGTCAGTCTGGCCAGCTACCAACAGAGTTCCTGGGGGATTCAGACTGAACAACTGCAGTATGAATGCCTGTTCTCTGTTTAGTCAGCCTGTAGTCTCCTCTATATTGGTGAAACGAAGCACAGACTGGGCGACTGCTTTGCAGAACACATACATTCTGTCTATAAAAATATCCCAACCTTTCAATTGCCTGTCACTTCAACACACCACCCTATACCCTGGCCAACTTCTCTGTCTCAGGCTTGCTGCAGTACATCAATGACCTCAGCATAAGCTGGAAGAACAGCACCTCCACCTGGAAACCGATATCCATTTCAAGCCCACCGACTCCCACAGCTACCTAGAATACACCTCCTCCCACCCACCTTCCTGCAAAAATGCCATCCCCTATTCCCAATTCCTTTGCCTCTGCCACATCTGCTCCCAGGATGAGGCATTCCACTCCCGAACATCTCAGATGTCCTCGTTTTTCAAGGACCGCAACATCCCCCGCTCAGTGGTTGAGATGCCCTCGACCGTGTCTCCCACATTTCCCGCAACTCAGCCCTCACACTCCGTCCCCGCAATAACAACCAAAACAGAATTCCCCTCGTCCTCACGTACCACCCCACCAACCTCCGGATCCAATGCATCATCCTCCGACACTTCCGCCATCTGCAATCCGACCCCACCACCAAAGACATTTTTCCCTCCCAACCCTTATCTCTTTTCGGAGGGACCACTCTCTCCGGGACTCCGTTGTCCGTTCCACACTGCCCTCCAGCCCCACCACACCCGGCACTTTTCCCTGCAGCCGCAGGAAGTGCTACACCTGCCCCTACACCTCCCCCCTCACGCCCATCCCAGGCCCCAAGAAGACTTTCCACATCAAGCAGATGTTCACCTGCACATCTGCTAATATGGTATACTGTATCTGCTGTTCCCGTTGTGGCCTCCTCTACATTGGGGATTTCACAAGCTTCAAAATATCCCCTCCCCCTACCGCATCCCAAAACCAGTCCAGCTCGTCCCTGCCTCCCTAACCTGTTCTTCCTCCCACCTATCCCCTCCTCCCACCTCAAGCCACACCCCCATCTCCTACCTACTAACCTCATTCCGCCCCCTTGACCTGTCCGTCCTCCCTGGACTGACCTATCCCCTCCCTAACTCCCCACCTACACTCACCTTTACTGGCTCCATCCCCGCCTCTTTGACCTGTCTGTCTCCTCTCCACCTACCTTCTCCTCTATCCATCTTCTATCCGCCTCCCCCTCTCTCCCTATTTATTTCAGAACCCCCTTCCCCTCCCCCATTTCTGAAGAAGGGTCTAGGCCCGAAACGTCAGCTTTCCTGCTCCTCTGATGCTGCTTGGCGTGCTGTGTTCATCTAGCTCTACACCTTGTTACCTCATTTCCTGCTTGGGAACTCTACAGCCTTCTGGACTCAGTATCGAGTTCAATAATTTGTTTGAGGCACCTTCTCCAATGTCCTAACGCCAACCCCCACTCACCAGGCCTTGTTATCACGTGGTCTGCTATTACACACATCCCATTGTCAACCACTAATGGACAGGTACATGAATAGGAAAGGTTTAGAGAGATATGCAGGCAAATCAGACTAGTTTAGTTTAGTTTGGGAGACTTGGGTCAACATGGTCAAGTTGGATCGAGGTTCTGTTTCGGTGCTGTATGACTCTATGACTCCATGACCTGCTGTGTTTTTCCAGCAATTTCTGTAGAAGTTTCTGATTTCCAGCCACTGCAGATCTTTCAGGTTTTTTTTTGGTCTGTACTAGGGACAGTTGGTGTCAGTGTCTATCTTGTACTGGGAGTAACAAGAATGTGTGACTAAATTGGTGCAGTAGCAAAGTTTGAAAACAAGTCAGCCACAGCAGGAAAAATCACCTACAGAGCTACAACGAAAGAAATTTTCACAAAAGTTTTTAAAGTCCCAGTTACAACAAACTCAGGGCAGTCAGCAGGAAGCAACTAGTGAAAGCTCACAATGAAAATTACACGCACCGATTTCAAACATCTGCAGTGGGAGGTAGAGAAAGTTGCTGCGGTGGTGAAAGAGATTGCCTTGTCCAGGAGCAGCACAGACCGAGTCAGAGGATGGCAGCAATAGGAGGAAGGCAATGTCGTGACTGAATTCCAGCACCTCTTGAGTGTAGACACGGAACCGTTGCACCTATCAATCACAACACAGCACGGAGAAACCAGGAGAACATTCTGGAGAAACAGCAACCCATACACGTACAAATACCCACAGACTAAGTGTTACAGTGAGGGGTGTAGGGTATATCAGAGTATTACAGCGAGGGGTGTGGGGTATATCGGAGTGTTACAGTGAGGGATGTCGGGTATATCAGGGTGTTACAGCGAGGGGTGTG